ACAATATACTTCATATGAAGTATATTGTATTATATATTGTAATATACAGCCCAGCACTTCTTATCGTCACTCTGATTAAAGTTGTTGATATGTTGATCTTTCATCATAAAAACCTGTTAAATCATGAAAATTCATTATATTTAATTTACATATATTTCAAGGGAAATCAGAAAGGGTTCAAATTAAGATGTTGTGCAGATCATTATTATTATTTATTTTATAGAAAATGTTTTATTTTTAAATACAGTCAAATGCAGTTATTCTCATCATAATATGATCATCTATGAGCTTTTGCTTCAATATTAACCACAGATGAAATATGAACAAGTTTGTGTATTCTGTCAATTATAGAAAATGGAATCTGAAAATAAACATTTTAGTAACTTTTCCTTCATGTAATATTTAAATTGATGTCCAGAATCAAACATTGACTATTAAATCTCGGATGAATCTGACAGTTGTTCCAGATGTTTTAGAGATTTCTTTCTACTCTTCAAGTCTCACAGATATTATAGTTCACCTGAGTGTCACACAAACCCCAGTGCATCATGGGACATTCTCTGATCAGCCTGCATCATCACATTAATGGTTCCATACGTTCCACCTCTCTCCTTCAGGCCCAGGCTCGCTGCCACCGGATCGGTCAGAGCAAAGCGGTGAAGGTCTATCGACTGATCACCAGGAACTCCTACGAGAGGGAGATGTTTGACAAAGCCAGTCTGAAGCTGGGACTTGACAAAGCTGTCCTCCAGGACATCAACCGCAAGGGAAGCCTGAACGGGGTGAGACAGGACAGTGAGACTGTCGGAGTGTTGTGTCCCAGAGACACCTGTTTGTCTTTACCATAAAAACTGTTTTTGTCTTCAGGTGCAGCAGCTGTCAAAGCTGGAGGTGGAGGACTTGTTGAAGAAAGGAGCTTACGGAGCACTGATGGACGAGGAGGACGAGGGCTCCAAGTTCTGCGAGGAAGACATCGATCAGATCCTTCAGAGACGGACTCAGACCATCACCATCCAGACGGAAGGGAAAGGGTCCACGTTTGCCAAGGTACCAGTCCTCAACGGGGACTGTCTCAAATACTGGACCACATCCATCTAATGAAGTTATGAAGGACATGAGGGACACAGTCTGTCTCTCTTTAGAGGACGCCTGTCTCTCTCTCTTTAGAGGACGCCTGTCTCTTTCTCTTTAGAGGACGTCTGTCTCTCTATCTTTAGAGGACGTCTGTCTCTTTCTCTTTAGAGGACGTCTGTCTCTTTAGAGGACACCTGTCTCTCTCTCTTTAGAGGACGCCTGTCTCTGTCTCTTTAGAGGACACCTGTCTCTCTCTCTTTAGAGGACACCTGTCTCTCTCTCTTTAGAGGACGCCTGTCTCTTTCTCTTTAGAGGACACCTGTCTCTCTCTCTTTAGAGGACACCTGTTTCTCTCTCTTTAGAGGACGCCTGTCTCTTTCTCTTTAGAGGATGTCTGTCTCTCTATCTTTAGAGGACGTCTGTCTCTTTCTCTTTAGAGGACGTCTGTCTCTGTCTCTCTCTTTAGAGGACGCCTGTCTCTTTCTCTTTAGAGGACGTCTGTCTCTTTCTCTTTAGAGGACGTCTGTCTCTCTCTCTTTAGAGGACGTCTGTCTCTTTCTCTTTAGAGGACGTCTGTCTCTTTCTCTTTAGAGGACGTCTGTCTCTCTCTCTTTAGAGGACGTCTGTCTCTCTCTCTTTAGAGGACGTCTGTCTCTCTCTCTTTAGAGGACGTTTGTCTCAAATCATTGAACCGCTGCTCTTAGTGAAGGCTTTAAATTACACAGATGTTTGTCCCAGAGAGATAAGATAAGATAGACTTTATTGTCCCAATGGAAACACAGTGTCTGCTGTTAAAACAATACAAATAACATATTGCATACATACATTACATACACAGACTGTCGGCAGTCCACACTCCCGCACGCACAGTACCTACAGTACATGCACAGACTGCCACCGGCCAACAAATACATTTCACACTGCCCGTTGTGTAACGCACCAGTAGTGTATAGTTAAGATAATACAAATAAATACAAATCGGTGTTACAGGGGTTAAGCTCTGGCTAGCTTGCCATTTAGGGCTTTGATGGACAAGGGGACCAAGGAGTTGTTAAAGTGGTTGAGACTCCGAATCCTTCAAATACTTCATATTTGTGTAAAACCATGGAGCTCCATCAGAGCAGAATGTGACCCTCTGTCCTCTCTCCTCTGTCCTCTGTCCTCTCTCCTCTGTCCTCTCTCCTCGGTCCTCTCTCCTCGGTCCTCAGGCCAGTTTCATCTCCTCTGGAAACAGGACGGACATTTCTCTGGACGACCCAAACTTCTGGCAGAAATGGGCCAAGATCGCTGAGGTGGAGATCGACTCCAAGTCTGAGAAGGTACAGAGAGAAGAAGACATTTCATTATATATAATGCTATTTATTACATAATGTTCTATATAACGTATTCCTCTGTCCTCGACTCCTCTAGGAGTCCTTGGTGATCGACACTCCTCGTGTGAGGAAGCAGACTCGTCACTACAACTCGTTCGAGGACGACGAGCTGATGGAGTTCTCAGAGCTGGACAGTGACTCTGAGGATCGACCGTGTCGGACTCGACGTCTGGGAGAAAGAAGCAGACGTTACCTCAGAGCAGAGTGCTTCAGGGTGGAGAAGAACCTGCTCATTTTTGGGTACCAGAGACACACACATAGATAGACACAGACACACACACACACATACAGATAGATAGAGACAGACAGACAGATACTAGACACACATAGACACACATACATAGAGACACAGACACACATGGACACATACACACACACACAAGCAAAGACAGTAAATGTTGAAGTTTCATCTTATTAAAGCTTCTTCTTCTTTTTTACTTCCTGTCCTCCCGATGTCCTGTGTGTCTCCAGGTGGGGTCGGTGGACGGACATCATGAACCACGGTCGCTTTAAATGGCACCTGGCAGAGAGAGACATGGAGGTGATCTGTAGGTAAGAAGACAAGTCTTTTATTGATCCTGAGACGATGAGAGACGTCGCTGTCCGTCTCCGGTGTGAAGGACAGATTTGGTTTGTGATTCAGGGCTCTGCTGGTTTACTGCCTGAGACACTACAAAGGAGACGACAAGATCAAGAGCTTCATCTGGGACCTGATCACACCCACCAAGGAGGGCCAGGACCAGGACCTGCTTAACCACTCTGGTGAGGGTTTTCAACGTTACTTTAATGTAGCATGTTAACGCGCACTTTAACGTAGCATGTTAACGAGCATTTTAACATAGCATGTTAACGAGCACTTTAACGTAGCATGTTAACGAGCATTTTAACGTAGCATGTTAACGAGCATTTTAACGTAGCATGTTAACGAGCACTTTAACGTAGCATGTTAACGAGCATTTTAACGTAGCATGTTAACGAGCACTTTAACGTAGCATGTTAACGAGCACTTTAACGTAGCATGTTAACGAGCACTTTAACGTAGCATGTTAACGCGCACTTTAACGTAGTGTCGTTAAGGCTTCTCTTTTTTTTCCCAAACATCCACATGCCTAAATCACCCACAAGTTTGGTTGGATATTTGATGACTCCATGGTTCATGATGTTGGTACCTAACCTGCCGTGATGATGGTTGCTTCCCTCCCTCCCCTCTGGGCTGCAGGGTTATCAGCTCCGGTCCCTCGCGGTCGGAAGGGGAAGAAGCTGAAGAACCAGCTGAACGTTCCTGAGGTGAAGAACGCAGACTGGCTGGTCCACTGTAACCCGGAGGTGGTGCTGCAGGACGAGAGCTACAAGAAACACCTGAAGCAGCACTGCAACAAGTCAGTCTACACCTGACTGAACCGGCTATGAGTCTAGAGACACACAAAGTAATCTATTACCATACAGATTAACCCCTCCCTCTCTGTTCTTAGGGTGCTGCTGAGGGTGAGGATGCTGTACTACCTGAAGGTGGAGGTGTTGGGTGAAGCTGCCAATCAAGCTCTAGAGGGGATACCTGCCAGGTAGCTTCACATCATGACGACACCTCGTTGGATGGTTGATCATCTGATTCATGATGGACGTATTAACTGTGTGTGTGTGTGTGTGTGTGTGTGTGTGTGTGGACAGTAAACTGGAGGTGTCTCTACCAGACATCGACTACATTGAGATCCCTGCTTCATGGTGGGATGCTGAAGCTGACAAGTCTCTCCTCATAGGAGTCCACAAACACGGTGAGGAGGACATCTCAAAGGATGAAGACAGCTGATGATTCCCCCTCAAAGATTATTGATTATTGGCTTCAGCCCCTGTCAGCGTTTTTAATATTTAGATGCTGTGTTTGAAACGTTGGCATCTGTATGTGTGTGTGTGTGTGTGTGTGTGTGTGTGTCTCCCTCTACAGGCTACGAGCGCTACAACGCCATGCGGGCCGATCCAGACTTGTGTTTCCTGGAGAGAGTCGGGATGCCAGACGTCACAGCTCTGACTGCTGAACAAGGAGGAGGGGAGGGGGGGTCTGACATGGCTGACAGGTGGAGCATTCACACACACACACACACACACACAAGTGTATTACATAGAGACGCAGAGGCAGTGAGGTGTAGGAAGACGTAGATATGTAGAGTTGTAGAGACATAGAGACCTAGAGAACTAGAGGGGAAACAAAGGGCTGTGGTTGCTCAGAACCTGAACAAAGGTTCTCCTCCTGTCAGAGAAGAGTCTTCTTAAACACTGACAGGTTACAGGGCTCTGCTTCTCCAGTCTAAACTCTACAGACACTGGTTCCACTGACTTCATTTGATTCATTTAGTCTCAACTAACTTAACAAAACATGACGTCTAACGTGAGGTCAAAGACTACCGATGAGTGTGTTTTCATCCTCTCTCTTCATAGAAGACGTCTCTCAACAGTCTGAGTTATTAAAGATTATTTTCTTCCTACTCTGTCGTTTCTTCCTCAGCGTGATCAAAACTGAAGAGGTGAAGGACGAGGCAGAAATCAAAGCTGAAGGAGGAGAGGACAGAGACGAGAGCAGCAAGGTGAAGACATTTTATTCTCTGTCGGACATATTGTCCACCTCACCGTACTGTTGTCCCTCTTTCTGTGGTGATGGTTAAATCTCCTCCAGGGAGACATTGTTAGATTTAGGACGTCCTCTGGATGCAGTACCACCTGTGTGGAGGAAATGATGCGCTTTAATACACAACACATACTGATGATGAGAATCTTTTTATTGATTATTTTATTAGGTTTCTTTTCTTCTGTTTTCTTAATATATATATATATATATATATATAT